CTCATCAAAATTCTCCACAAGATCTGGAACTTCATCATCATCTTCTCCAGTAGCAAGTGGTGCTTTTCCATCCACAGATTGTTTGGGCAGGGCTTCAGCCAGTCTTCTTAAACTACTCAGGCTATCTGCGCCAAGCTGGTTTAAGATGCTGGGTAACATTTCTGTCAACTGCTTTGTCTCAGCATGGCCGGTAATGGTGAAAGTGTTTGCTGCCAGAGATGCCTGGACTTTAGGATTATTAAAGTGGATCACCGTTCCTTGATTTGTAAACATATTCACCTCTTCAGTACCAGAGATATTGTTTACCCCTAATTTCTTTAAGGAGAACTGAAGTTTTTTGTCATCTGCTGTAGGTGTTCTATGAACCACCTTCTTTCTGCGTGCAGTTCCTTTTCCACCAATGCGCACTTGTGCCTGCAGTTTGGCAAGTTTCTCCTGATTCATGATCGTTTCTTTCATCTTGTCAGAGAGGAAATGGGGCCGTGCAGGGGACTAGGGCTGACACTCAGGGGGTCTTTTGGCAGACCAGCTGAGATAGGCTGCACACGATGGGATGCAAGATGGCGGCTAGAGAGAGACCGGAAGCGACCCCGTATTTGGAAGTTTTTTGGTTTGTTTGTCTGTCTGTTTGTAGAATTTGTCTTATAACTTGCTTTTTCATTTGTTTGGTAGTAAGATCTCATCTTTTGTAATACCTGATTTCAAATTGCCTAGGACTAAAATGTCTTTGCTAACTGGTTTGCCCAAATTAGGGTCTGTAGTACATGCCATTGTTGTGATATTAAGTCTCTTAAAACCCATCACAATCTCTTACCTATCTTTTTAAAAAAGATACTGATATCAAAGAGACTGACTTAGCCAGCTTGTCTTGATTACTTTTGAAGCAATACTTTTTTTTGTTATACTAAATGTTTTTTTTTCTGATCAGCAGGGAGATTCCTCTGATGAACTTATCTTTATCACTGATAGAATATCAAATAGTTTTCATACCATGTCTCTCCACAGCTGTCCCTTGTGTTTGAGGAGCTAAGTCCTGCCCTGGAGGCTGTGCTGGCTCAGGGCCACCCAGGAGTTGTCATTGCTCTTGTGGGGGCCTGCCGCAGAGTAGGAACTCTACAAGACAAGGTTCTGCAAGTGTTATTGAAGGTGAGTATCACCTACACCCTGAGTACAGACTTGGTGCAAATTCTCTCTCTTTGGACTTGCATAATCATCAGTCATTGTTCCAGTGAATTCAAGAGGTCTAATGCCCAAAGAACTCACTGATACAGGGAAAAACTAGGTCAGGTGACATCTAACAGCCTGTAATGAAAATTGTCTCATGATACTGAGAGAAGTTTATTTAAGCAGTAACTTAATTCATTCTATTACATGTATAGAGGCTGGGATGCAGAAAAACAGATGAGAGCCTGCCCTCGTGGAGCTTACATTCTTGTAGAGTTAGGCCTTCATACTTTCTTGAATGTTTTCCCTTGTCTAGAAAGTTTGACGTAGGGACAGGGTGGTTCTGAGACTCCCATTTTGTCTTTGTGTCTAGGCATTCCACTGTGCAGAACCCTCATCCCGGCAGGTGGCCTGTGTGCCTCTCTTTGCCACGTTGATGGCATATGAGGTGTACTATGGACTAGCAGAGGACGAGGAGGCCGTGCCTGCAGAGCACCAGGTGAGGTCGGGGAGAGGCCGAGGCACTGAGTCACAGGGGCCAGACTTCCTGGGGCTTAGGAACCCCTCTGCTGCTGAGGTGAGGGTAGTGAGACCTCTGACCTCGTCCAGGTGGAGGTAACAGTGTCCTGCATGTGGGCTCA